TTGGAAACCCAAGGAGGGGTTGCTATGAGTCGGGTCCGACTCTATGGCACATAATAACAACAACAACCTACTGCCTGGGAAACCCAAGGAGGGGGCTCTGTGAGTCGGGATTGACTCAGTGGCAGTGAGTTTAGTTTTTTTTTTTTTTTTTTTGCTTCAAAAAGGAAAGAGAAAATTAGCAATTTGGGGTAAAACCAAGCCACTGGCTGGATTAATTTTGGTCAGGAATATTTTCATGGTTAATATTTGGTTTTGTGGATGAGAAAAACCTTAGAATCAAAGTAAGATGTCTGTTATTAACTTTTCTCTTTGCCAGGCTGCAGGTAAGTGGCAGAGCCAGGATTTGCCCTCAGTGGGCTGGATCCAGAATCTGTCCTTTGAATAAGTACTAGGCTGATGGTCAGTCATTTCTTGCCCCTGAAGAGCCTGGCTTAGCTGGGAATACCTGCGAAAGACTTAGAGACTTGGACACTCCTTTGTATGCAGTGGAGGAAACAGAGGCCCAGAGAAGGGTAAGAATTTGCTTGGGGTCACACAGCACGTGGTGGCTGAGTCAGAATGGGAGTCTATGATTTCTTTCTACTCAGATCTGCTTTAAGACAAATGAGTCCAACAGAAGGATCAGGCCATGTGCCCTAAGATTTTAGGGGGCCTGTTTCCGGGTCCCCAAGCACCAGCTGGGTACGCCTCTCCCAGTGCACAAGAGGCTGCAAACCGGAAGCCATCCACATGTCGGTCCCCGACAGCCGATTCCACCGCATGGCACCCCTGGGGTGTCAGAGTGGGACTGAGCGCCACACACAGGCTCATCTTCGGGAAGTGGCCAGGCCTTTATTCTGAGGTGTCCCTGGGTGAACTCAAAGCACCAACCTTGCGGTGAGCAGATGAGTGCACTTACCATCGCTTCGCCCAAGGACCCTAAGAACGCCCTAGGTGATTCGAATGTGCATCTAGGGCTGGAGCCTTGCATTTAGAAAATGCAAGGGTGGCATTTTGCCTTAGCCCTCGTCCATAGGACCTGTTTCATGATGACTGACTCTCTCCCCATGGCCCAGCCACAGCGAGTGGATGATGGGGGTGTCGGGACCTACCTGGGTCTCTCGAGCTGGCCCTGCAAGAACCGCCCGACTGCAGTGTCCTCGAAGCCGTAGTAGACGCTCCAGAAAACACACAGCTGCTGGTGCTGGTGGATGAGGCTCAGGACGGTTCTGAAGCCTTGGGCCAGGCTGAAGGCGTCCTTCCCGCTGCCCTGTTCCCAGGCAAAGATGGTCAGTAGCTCCAGGGCATAGACTGGGGGCAGCGTCCCCCTTCTGCCCTCCTGCGAGCACACCTATAAACAGGCAAGAGAGGGCACTCAGAAGGACAAAGGGGAAGCTCCTTCCAGAACTTTCCCGGCCGTTGCGGTCTCCACTGGGGCCCCACAGGCCTAGGCTGGGACAAGCAGCTGTGCTCTGAGCCTGCTCTGGAAGGGGCCTGGCCAGTCCCTCTTGTCCTCACTGCTGGGACTTAACCCACAGGGTGGCTCTTGAGTGCCTCATCTGTCCATGTCTTCCCCAGCCTCTCATCTGCCTCAGTCCAGCCATCAGCCTCTCACATGGCTCACTGCCCCAGCCTCCACATGGTCCTCACTCTTGGTCCCCCTGATCCACCGTCTGCTGAAGCAGACACATGTTTGACCACAACTCCCCTCTGTCCTGCAGACACACCACCATCTATGGCTCCCCACGGCCCTCAGGGTGACTACTCAACTTAAGTCTGCAAAGCGCGGCTTGGTCTGACCTCTGTCCACTCACCAGCTGCCTCTCCCCCTCCACCCCCACGTCACGTCCGTTCCTACCATACTTACCACTCACCAGTCCCCAAGTGCTCCAAGTTCTCTCCTACCTCCAGGTCTTCACAAGTGCTGTTCCCTCAGCCTAGAATGCTTTTCGCTCTCCCTTTAACTTGGCCGATTCCTCCTCCTTCTTCATGGCCCAGCATGACTCTTCCCTGACTCCCTCACCCACCCCAGATGTGTGATTTCACAGTACCTTCCCTTGGGGTCATTTTTATCACCTCTGTCATCCTTGGCTGTTTTATTTTGGGGGCCTCTTTGTGGCATCTCCAATGCCTAGCACACTACTTGACCTCAGAAGCATCATTAAAAAATAAAAGAGAGAGAGAAAGAGAGAGAAGACACCTGGCTCTTAAATATATACCTCCAGCCAGCCAATCATCCCTTTACAGGCAAGGAAACTGAGGCACAGGGGTGACATAAGTTGCCCAAGGTCGTGCAGCAGGTAAGTGGCAGAGCCAGGATTTGCCCTCAGTGGGCTGGACCCAGAATCTGACCTTTGAATAAGTACCAGGCTGATGGGCAGCCATTTCTTACCCCTGAAGAGGTTTGCTTAGCTGGGAATACCTGTGAAAGACTTAGAGACTTGTACACTCCTTGTATGCAGTGGAGGAAACAGAGGCCCAGAGAAGGGTAAGAATTTGCTTGGGGTCACACAGCACATGGTGGTTGAGTCAGAATGGGAATCTACCATTTCTTTATACTCAGATCTGCTTTATGACAAATGAGTCCAACAGAAGGACGAGGCCATGTGCCCTAAGATTTTAGGGGGCCTGTTTCCGGGTCCCCAAGCACCAGTTGGGCACGCCTCTCTCAGTGCACAAGACTCTTGTCAAAGCATGGAAGCATGCCCGGGCAGAGGGTGTGCCAACTTCAGGTGACCTCACACTGTGTCCACAATATCCCAGGCATGTCAAAGCCCTAAACATAAGCAAAACTTAAAACTCTTTGGAAAAAACCTAGGAGAATAATTTTGGAAAAACGGGATAGGGAAAGATTTATCTTTCCTTTTGGGAGGGGGGATGCCAACAATACTTATCATTATTTAAGTATTGTCAGGATACTTAATGTTTGTTAGTCCCCCTAGAACCTTTTCCTTGTATTACATCATTTTTAAATTAAATTTTCTTTTTGTTATTGTGGTCTGGGAGGGAACAATTTCTTAAACAAAACACACAAAGCACAAATCATACAAGAAAAAGACTAATCCATCTGGTTACATTAAAATTCAAATATTTTCAAAATATTTGAACATTTGACAAAAGACCCATAAACAAAATGAATGTATAAGCTACAGACTGGGAGAAGATATCTGCATTATATTAACTGACTAAGAACTAGTGCCCCGCAATATATAAAGAGCACCAATAAATCAACAATAAGAAGACAGCTAGCCCAGTAGAAAATAACGGACAAGGGATATGAGCAGACAATTCCTAGAAAGAAAAGCATGAATAATCACTAAACGTAAGAAAAGACTGGCACTATCTTGAAAGCAGGGATTCAAACAGTCATAGGCCTGGAGCAAGGACCCTCAAGAGTGTCTTCACCTGGCGGTACCAGTGCTTCACCAGCAGAATCAGGTTCTTCACTTTGGCTGGGCGCGTGTTCACGAAGTCTCTCCGCAGCTCTGCGAAGCAGGCCGCGTGCTCGCCCCCCTGGCAGCCACTGTTGAGGAGGGCGGAATAGACCTCGGGCTTGGGTTTGCCACCAGAGCTGAGCTGTCCTGTGGGTGTGGAGGGCAGTGTTAGCGCAGAGCCCAGCTTGGGGCACTGGGAGGGGGAGGGGTGAATCTGGAGGAGGGTATCCAGCAACATGATGGAGCTGGGGCCTGGGGGACCGTGCCTTAGTTTCCCCTGAGTGTCTCGGGAGACAGGGAGGAAGAGTTACGCTCCAGACTGGAAGGGACTCTCTCTCCTCCCAAATAGCTAAGCAGCCTCCAGCGGGTGGGGCCTGAGGAAGGGCAGTCACGGAGTGAAACAGGGAAGACGCTTCCAGCCGCGTCAGAAGTGCCTACAGCAGCTGTACCTGGCATTCGTTGCCCCCCTCAGCTCCCTCCAGTTCACTGGTTGCTGGCAAGTCAACTCTGACTCCTGACAGCCCCATGTGTCTCAGACTAGAGCCATACCCCCAGGTTTTATTTTGTTTTTTCCTGATTTTTCAGAAGATCATTAGGTCTTTCTTCCCAGGTGCCTGTGGGTGGCTCAAACCTCCAACACCACTGTCAAACCCAACCAACCCAACCAGCTGCCATTGAGTCGATTCTCTGACTCATAGTGACCCTGTAGGACAGAGTAGAACTGCCCTATAGGGTTTCCAAGGCTGCCATCTTTATGGAAGTAGACTGCCCCATCTTTCTCCTGTAGAGCGGCTGGTGGGTTCGAACCGCTGACCTTGTGGTTCGCAGCTGAGCGCTTTAACCAATGCACCACCAGGGATCCTAAATGCCCCTGTACACATCTTTAATTAATTGCCCACACACTCCCTGGTGCTGCGGGGAGCAGAAGACAGGGAAAACAGGGAATGAGAAGTATGAGGCAAGGGCAACGTATGAGCAGTGACGGCCAACGTTTCTAGAACATCTACTGCCCGCTGACAGCATGTTGATAGCCTTCCTTGAATCCCCTCATTGCAGCCCCATCTCAACCAAACAAGGAAAGTATAATTCTCTAGCCCACTTTACAGCTTAGGAAATAGAGGCCCAGAGAAATTCAGTTTTTTGCCCAAGATTACATAGTTGGCAAGCAACAGCAGGAGGATTTGAACTCAGAGCCGTCTGACTTTATAGTATGCACTCTTTCCTCCACTTCCCACAGGCATCTGCGGTGCAGTGAATTACCTGGTATGGTTCTTTTTGCCACTGGTTTTTTATAACAAATATATGAGTATGCATTATGATTGATGTGTGTGCAGAGGGTGGGTATATTAAGTGTGGGGCAGTGTGGCTGAGTGCCAGGACATCCTAACCTGCAGGATAAACTACCCACAGGACAGCTGTCCCCTGGAGTACCAGGGTTGATAATAACAACAATAAAAACAACAGCAATGATAATAGAAATGATAAAAGCAAATCCTTACATAGCCCTTATATGTGCTAAGGAGCTCTGGCAGCACTGTGGTTAAAGCATTGGTCTGCTAACCAAAGGTTCAGCAGTTCAAACCCACCAGCTGCTCTTCAGGAGAAAGATGAAGCAGTCTTCTTCTGTAAAGACTGCCAGCCTCAGAAACCCCTCTGGGGCAGTTCGACTCTGTCCTACAGGGTCTCTATGAGTCAGAGTCGACTTGATGGCAGTGGTTTTTGGTTTGATATGCTAAGTACTGTTTTAAGTTCATTCCATATACTGACATATTTAATCCTTGCAACAACTCCGTAAGGTAGATGGTTTTATCCCTATAATTAAACCCATTTTACACATGAGGGCACTGAAGCATGTTGATACATTAACTCAAACACGGGTTTATCACGGCGGAGAATGCAAACATCATAGTAATGTTTTCAAGGTGAAATACAAGATTCTGCAGACTTTTGGCCTCATCCTCATGCCTCGCTGCTGGGCACGCCTCCCTTCATCTTTGTCCCTGGGGTATTTGTGGAAGGTTTGGGCAGACTGCTCTAGGCAGTGGCTGAAGGAAAGTCTTCCGAGATGCTTGGCTGAAGGTCAAACACCCAAACACTAGGACCACAGATCTAGGAGGAACTAGGTCTTCTAGACCCCTGCTAGCCCAAACCCAGTATGTTAAGGAACAGAGGCCCAGAGAGGGGTAGACGCTTGCCTGGGTCACACAGCAAGTCAGTGGCAGGGCCAGAATTGAAAGCTCTGTTTCACTCTCAGGAATGTCAGGGTGATCTTGCCCCTCCCCCCACAAGGGCAGGGCACCTCTCACCCAGGGCATCAAAGGCAGGCACCAGGCTGACATCCATCCAGCTTTCAAGGTCCTCGGATGCCAGTCGGAACTGCAGCACCCCAGACACGTCCTGCTCGGGAAACTCAAGACTCAGGCCGGGGAAGGGCTCCATCCACCAGGATTCCAGCTGAGCCCTCATCTCATTGAGGATCTCTGCACGGTGGGCCCCCTGGTCCTCATAGCTCTTGAAGCAGTTTAGGAAGATGACAAGTTCAGAATCACAGCCGCCCTTCAGGGCTGTACCCCGGCCGTAGGAGCCTCCCTGAGAAGAGAGAAATCACTCAGGACTCTGCGCTCTCCAGTTCTTGTGCCTGTGCAGGCTGTCAGTGAACTTGGGTGAGGCAAGTGGGCTGAGTGAGGACTGTGGCGACACAGCTCCAGGCAACCGAAGCTTTGCACGAACGCTGCCACATCTGGAAGCTTTGAAAAGAAGCCATTTCTAAGTGTATATTCATGATTTTTAAATGCTGGCAACTAATTTTAATAAAATTAAAACGGTGCGTGAAACAAACTGATGTGCAGAAGATATGTTTGTGATCTTTGCCTGGAATCAAAACTCTTGACAGGATTCGCTGAATTTCTGAGGCTTTTCTGAGCAGTTTCTAGTCTGAGAAATTGGGAAGGAGAGTCATACTGTAAGAACCTCGCACACAACACCCTTGACATACGGTTATAGATACTGAAGTGAGGCTGAGAGCGGTGAAGTGAGTTACACAGTCAGAAAGTGGCAAGAACCAGGATTAAGCCCTCCAGGAAAACCCCTCCCTTCAGAGTCGGACTCTTTGTTATCCCAAGGGCTGTGCCAGTCCCTTTACTGCTAGAGGGCTCACCCTGAGGCTGCTGAAAAAGGAGGCATTGCACAGAACACAGAGAAACACTACTGACCGAGCATTTCCTACGAGTTATGCATTTTACAAGGAGCCCCGGTGGCACAATGAAGCATTTTGTTGCTAATTAAAGGCTGGCAATTCAAACCCACCCAGTGGTCCATGGGAAAAAGACACAGCAATTTGCTCCCATAAAGATTACAACCTAGAAAAACCTATAGGGAAGTTCCACTTCTGTCCCATAGGGTTGCTAGAGTCAGAAATGACTCTATGGCACCCAACAACACAACAACAATAGGCATTTTACACACAAGCATCTCCTTTAACCCTTTCATGACTCGTGGGACATATAGTGCCCACCTACATTCTGGGTCTAGTAGGAATCTCTATCCCACTTTTAGCGCATTACGCCATCTGGTGGGGACCAGTATAATGGCATGAATCTGGAGAAACAGGCTGTTCCCACCAATACCAGCATGAGTAACTCCTTGGGACATATGTGTATCATTACCCAAAACCAAACTCACTGCCATCAAGTTGGTTCTGACTCATAGCAACCCCTCCTCGGGTTTCTGAGGCGGTATCTCTACGGAAGTAGATTGACCAATCTGCCTTCCCAGAAGTGGCTGGTGGGTTTGAACTGCCAGCCTTCTGGTTAGCAGTCAAATTGCCTTAGGTGCTATGCCATCAGAGCTCCTAGGGGCATCACTAATTGTATCAAAATCCCTATTACCTCTTTTTTTTTTTTCTTCATTTCATTCAGAATACCTTCCATGACTGAAAACACATGGTTTCAACAAAAAACTCAAAGCAGAAAAATAATTCGGTCTTGAAAGGGTTAACCCTCCAACTAAGGCGGGGAGGAACCCCCCCCCCACACACACACACACACACCCCGCAGGGCAGCGCACTTTATAAACACAGAAACAAAACAACTGAGAGGCTGCCACTAGCTCAAGCCAGTACCGAGGCAGGGCCAGGACTGGAACCCAGGGAACTCCGGTTCCAAACCCACATTTTTTTCTCTCCCTTAAATTAATTTACTGAAAGCTGGTTTTAATTAAAAAGTTTTCAAACCCACATAAACGAAGACAGGATTTTTCCAGAAGCCCTTTGCCATGTTTGGTCCAAAGTTAACCCCTGGCTCCGCCTCTTCTTTCCGGTTGGGCCAAGTCATTTCGCTTCTCCGTGCCTCAGTTTCCCCGTCTGCCAAGTGGGGTTACTTCGCGGGGCGGTCGTTAGCATGGAGTGAGTGAGTGTGAGCATTCTCTTTTCAGAGCAATTAGTTAACACACAGTTAACGTAGTTAACACATTTGTTGTGTTGTTCTGTGCCCTTGAGTCAGACCCACCCATAGCTACCGCTCCTAGGGTTTCCGAGGCGGGGAAGTAGATTTGAACCGCCAGCCTTCTGGTTAGCAGTCAAGTGCCTTAGGTACTACATTACCAGAACTCCTAGTTAACACATAGGGAAAACCAAACCCACCGCCATGGAGTGGATGCCTGCGACCCCCATTGGGTTTCCGAGGCGGTAAGTCTTTAGGGAAGTAAATGGCCCGGTCTTCCTTCCTTGGAGTGGTTGGGTGGGTTTGAACCGCCAGCCTTGTGGTTAGCAGTCAGATGCTTTAGGTACAGTTAATGGGTTAGATATTTAATGAAATGAATGGAAAGAGCTGATACTGCCAAACCCCGCGCCCCCTCCATCTTCAGTCTCAAAGTGTCGCCGGCGGATCGCGCCCCAACCCCCCTCCGGAGCCTCACCTTAATAATTTTCAGCACCCGCGGCTCCGAGCCCGCGGCTCCGGGGCGCCCCCCGCGCTCCCGCAGGGTGGCGCCCAGGGCGCCCAGTGCTCGCCGCACCGCCCCCACGAACTCCGCCGGCGGCTGCAGGCTGCGGGCCACCAACCTGTCCAGCGCGGCGGCCGGGGTGCCGTACACGTCCATGGTCGCCCGCGGTGTGAGCGGAGGCGGCTCCAGTTTCGTTTTCCTCCAGCGGGAGTATCCAACGGCTTCCTTTTCTGCTTTCGGTTTCCTTTCTTTCCTGGGGCCGCAGGTGCTGGCATCCACTTCCGGTCCTTTCCCCAGCCTCCTGCCGGTGGCCCCCTGCACCCACCGCTGAGGAGCAAACCAAGAGCAAATAACAGGCCTCTAGGGGGCAAAGTTAAAGGTGGGTAGTTCTAGTCCACCGAGAGTGCCTCGGAGGGAAGGCCTGGCGATCTACTTTCAAAAAATCAACCACTGAAAACCGCGTGGAGTGCATATGTCGCCGTGCGTGGGAGTCTACTGCACCGCCGCTGGTTTGGTTTTGGTTTTGGCTAAGAGCAAGGTCTTCAGAGCAAGAAGGGTTCGGATCCATGCCCGGTTTTGCCCTGGCTAAGTCTGAGCAAGTGCCCTAAGCTCTCAAAACCTCAAGCCTGTCCATTTATTTTCATGAGAATAATAATTAAACCCCCCTCTCGGGGAAGCTAGAGGGTTACAGAGAGGCCTAGGTGTCAACTCAGGACTGTCTGATTGGAATGGGCGTGGCTCCTTCAGGAGAACCTGGGGGAGTGTGCCTAATTTGGAGTTTTATGGGATGATCTGTCTTGGTACTGGGCTCAGGGTGGCAATGGAAACTGGTCCACCAAAAAACCGAGCCCGTTGCCAAGGAGTCAGTCCCTGCTCGTGGTGACCCCAGGGAGCAGAACCACTCCATAAGGTTTTTCTGGCTGTAAACTGTGTGTGCAGGTCTTTCTTCTGCTGGGTGGGTTCGAACCAACAAGCTTTAGGTTAGTAGCCAAGCACAAACCATTTGTGCTACTTAGGGATCTCATAAGAAGCCCTGGTGGCACAGTGGTTAAGCACTTGGCTGCTGAGAGGTCGGCGGTTTGAATCCACCAGCTGCTTTGTGGAAGAAAGAGGAGGCAGCTTGCTTCTGTAAAGATTACAGCCTTGGAAGCACTACTGGGAAGTTAGACTGTGCCATTAGGATCCCTGTGAGTCAGAATCAAATCAATGGCAATGGCCTTGGTTTTGGTTCGGGACCTTGTAAATCAGTGGCGCACTGGTGGTGAAGTGGTTAAACGCTCCACTGCTAACTGAAAGATTGGTGGTTTGAACCCAGCAGCTTCTCTGAGGGAGAAAGATGAGGCAGTCTGCTTCTGTGAAAGTTACAGCCTTGGCCACCCTATGGGGGCAGTTCTACACTGTTCCACAGGGTCAGTATGAGTTGGAATCGACTCCACGGCCATGAATAACGGGGACCTTTTAATTCAGTGAATCACCTTGTGGAGCAGAGCCGTCCAATAGAAAGACAATGCAAGCTACAGATGGAATGGTAAGCTTTCTAGTACCACATTAAAAGTAAAAAGCAATGGGTAGAATCAATTTTGATTTATCTCAAACAATTGGTCATTTCAACATGCAGTCAATTGAAAATGATCAGTTAGCAAGAATTGGATATTCTCTTTTTGGACTGGATCTTTGAAACCCAATACATATTTTACTCTGACGGCACATCTCAGTTTGGGTTGGTCACATTTCAGGTGCTCAGTAGCCACATGAAGCTAATGCCGAGTGGATCAGCCAGGGCGAGTGTGGTCTAGACTTTTCCCAGGAGAAATAGCCAGCGTTGGGATCAACGATTTGTGAACCAAGGATGTTGTCTCAGGCTTACTTGCAATAGGAAAATTGGTTGTTGTTGTTGTGGTTGTAATGTGCCGTTGAGTCGGACCCGACTCATAGCGACCCCTCCTTGGGTTTCCGAGGCAGTATCACTACGGAAGTAGATTGCCCCATCTTCCTTCCGAGGAGTGGCTGGTGGGTTTGAACTGCCGGACTTCTGGTTAGCAGTCAAGTGCCTTAGCCACCCTTTCAAGTGCCAGTTCCTTGAGGGCAGGGTTTTTTGTCTGCCTTGTTCACTGCTGTATCCCCAGTGCCTAGAACAACTGAAATATTTATTGAGCACATAGTAGGTGCTCAATAAATACTTCTAGTTGCATGAATGAACACATACATGTGCACACATGCTTCTCGGCTTGATGGCTTGCAGTTGATAAACAGCCAATAAACGGTATTTGCTATTATTATTTTTTATTATGATTTGGGTGAAAGTTTATAGAGCAAATTCACTTTCTGTACAGCAGTTCACATACACTTTGTCCCATGACATTGACTACAATTGACCACAATGTAACAGCTCCCCTCCCACTTTCTCCCAATAGTTACCTCTTCCCTGTGTCCATCCCTCCATGCACTCCTGCCCTCTGAACTGTCTCCCTGTATATAAACAGCCCTTCTTTCTCCCATGATTCTTCTCTGCAAGGAGTGTATCTACCTCAGGTAAATGTTCAACTCCTATGCCTGTCTATTGTTTGGCTGGAAGCCACAGGTGTGGGTTCAATTCCAGACCTGAAGGGCAGCTAGGGGCCATAGTCTCAGTGGTTCCACCAGGCTCTGTCAGACCAGCAAAGTATTTGCTATTATTTTTTATTGTTAGGCTAATAACTTGGACCATAACCTTCCAGTCAGGGACCCAGAACAAAGTCAAGGAGGCTGGGACCCTACTTTCTCATCTTCATCACTTCTGTTTGCTCTGAGAGACTACTGTCAGAGAGAGGAAGTGGGAGCTACGGTGGAGAGAGAACACCAAAGAGCGGAAAGGGTCGGGGTCAGGGGGCCTGAATCCTGGTTCTACATCCAAACCAATCATGGCATGACCCTGGGCCAGTCCCCTGCCGTATATGGACCAGGGGGCTGCCTTGGGAATGAGGAGGCTGTCCCTGGAGGGACGCCTCTGGGGTCCTTCCTCAGGCTGTGTTCAGAGGATGGTGCACGTCCAGCTTTTCTTTGCCGGTGGAGCGGAGAGTGCCTGGTAAGTGGCGCGTCTCTGGGAGGGCTGTCTGCTCTGCTCGGAGCCTCTGAACAGCCACAGGATCCCACGAATGATGGCCCCACACCACGTCTCCTTCTTAGGCTGAAGAGTAAAATGCAAGATAACATCAGAAGGTGGGCTTCCCGCCGAGACACTGGCTCTCGGTGGGCACTTTTGGTGAGCACTGTGCCGTGCCACTTGGATCCCCTTTTAAAGGGGGACTTGTTCCTGGTGCTGGGATGGCCTCCAGCTGTCAGCCCCTTTTGGGGGTGCCTCAGCTTTGGGTGGTATAAACCATTCCTGGGCTTGGCTGTTAACTGAAAGGTTGGAGTCCCCGCCAAAGGCACGTTGGAGGAATGGCTTGGAGATATGCTTCCGGAAACTGAGCCACTGGAAACGGGAACACGCTTCTACTCTGACACACATGGGTTGCCATGATCGGAGTTGGTAGCTGGTCGGCTGCAGGGAGCCACTTGGCGCAAGACCACGCCCCTTCCTGAGCTGCTCACAGGATCCATGTCAGGTACAGAGGCTTGACTGCTATTGTAGGACCACTCTGCAGGCCCACTTGACTCCTCTCTGAGGGCTGGCCTGCCACTGGGCTTGCATCATGGCTCTACCTCTGCCCCCCGCCCCCCCGCCCAGCCTCTTCCCTTCCCACTGTTCTTTCCAAAGGCGCCGTTTCCAAGTTCACTCCCCAGTAAACATCCCGCAGGCTACACTCATCTCAGGGGCTGCTTCCTGAGGAACCCACCTGCTACACTGTTAATCCCTGGTCTCAGAGGGGCCCCAGGAAGACCCTCCTCTGGGAGTGGAAAGACCCAAGATGAGGACTTCCTGCTCCTCCTGAGCTGTGCGGCAGGGCCCAAGTCACTTAGCTGCTCTGGGTGTCCTGTGTGTCAGCGACAGGTGGGGGTGACATGAGGCAGACTGTTAGCACAGTGGAGTGAGCAGTGGCCTTGAGCAAGGAACTGCCCCTTATTGGGTCTCGGTTTGCTCATCTGTAAGATGCGGTGACCGAAAACATACCTCTCGGGTTTGCTGTGAGGATCTTATGAGGTGATGTGCGTTGAAGGGCTTAGGACAGAACTGAAGCCCACAGCGCTGGTGCTCAAAGGTGCTGACTCGTGACTAACTAACGTTCTGAGTGGGATGAACTGACTGGGGCTGTCAGTCACCTCAGGCCAAGGTGGCATTCACTAAGGAACGTGCTCTGGGCAAGGACTGTGAGTATTCCCGGAACCTCTGACTGGGGCCAACTGACCACAAAACATGGAGCCAAGACAAGTTCTTGGGAAGAATGGTGTCCAGCTCCAGGCCCCAAGCTGTGTGCAGGGGGCTGGGGGAATGGATGGCAAGGAGGAGGCAGAAGTCTTACCAGCACATCCCAAGAGGGCACAGGAGACCCGTCTGGATTCTTAAAGCAAGGGGACTGGAGCCAGTAGGCGGCCTCCGACGCCAGCCCTGACCACCTCCCTTGGTTGACAGCCCCCAGGTTTCCTGTAGGATCAGCAGGGTCCAGGATCACAGGCCTAAGAGCAAGGAAGGGTTTGAGAGAGACGAGTGAGGAGCTAGGGCTGCATCCAGAGAGCCTTCAGTGCTCCTGGAAGAAAGAGCCAAGCACCAGCATGGGACAGGCTGGGGCACCAGCAGCAGGACGAAGGGCCCTGCAGGGCGTTGCTCTGTCGGGGGTGTCGCAAGGCCCCTGCCTGACTACGGCCAGTGAGTGGCCAGTGAGCGACGTGAATTTGGGACCTGATAAGCCTGGCTTTGAGCTTCGTCTCCGCCCTTTATTAGTGTGTGGCCTTGAGCCCCGGTTTCCTCATCTGTGGAGTGGGGAGAGCCGCACGAGCCTATCAACGGGCGTGGGGTGAGGAGACAGCAAGACAAGGCATGTGGTGTGTTCAGCAGTCGCTAGACAGAGGCAGCGGTCAGTCACCCCTTGGTAGAATTGTTACTATGCTGGCAGCCCCCGGTAGAAACAATCGACACTGCTGTGGTGATGTCAGTTCCTATTCTAGATGCCTCATCGATTTCTGTTAAGGTTTGGGCGAGTGCCTGACTTCTTAGAAAACTCAGTCTGGCCATCTGTAAAATGGTACCACAGTGCCTGCCTTGGAGGGTTGGAGGCTGTCGTGGGGAGGAAATTAGATAGCACAGTGCTTAGCAAGAGAAGGTGGGGCCTCTCACCCACTCCATTTCCAAGGCACCCTAGGCATTATGAAGGGTTCATTTATGTCCGGGAACTAAGCCATGTAGGAAAGGAGGCCTGATGGTGCAATGGTTAGGCACTCAGCTGCTACATGCAAGGTCAGCGGTTCGAACCCACCCAGTGGCTCCATGGGAGAGAGATGTGGCAATCTGTTCCCATAAACATTACAGTCAAGGAACCCTATGGGGGAATTTTACTGCCACCTGTGGTCCCTATGAGGTGGAATGGACTTGATAGCGTCCCCCCAACAACAACACAAAACCACGTGGGGGTGAGTACCTGCGTGTCCGGAGCTGTTTGCGCAGATATTCTGCAATAATGGGGTTTTCAAAGTCATAATACTCTGTCCAGAAGATGCACAGCTGTTTGTGTTCTATGACTAATTCCAGGACGGTCCGGAACCCCTGTGCTGTGTTGAAGTCTGTCTCGTAGCTCCCACGCTCCCAGGCGTAGACGGTCAAGAGCTCCAGGGCATACTGTGGAGGCAGAGGCTTCCCTATCCTCTCCAAACACTGAGAAGAGGAAGAACAATTGGGAAAACGTGTGTGTCCCATGTGCGTGTAGAGCACAGGGTTTCATACATGGTGCGGTGCATGGGGTAGAGCAGGGGTCAGGAAGCCCCGTCCACCATGGGCTAAAAGAAAGCTTTATTGGAACAAAGCCATGCCTATTCGTTGATGCAGAGTCTGTGCTGTTTTGGGGCTACTAAGGGCAGAGGTAGGAGCTCTGGTAGCATAGTGCCTAAGGCACTTGACTGCTCA